TAACACATGTAATACATTATTTGAAAGCCTTAACACATGTTAAAACATAATTTTAAAGCCTTAACACATGTAATTACCTTGTTTGAAATCCTTAACACATATAAACAAAATATTTGAAAGCCTTAACACATGTTAACACATTATTTGAAAGCCTTAACACGTGTTAACATTTGGATGGATTACCGTAAATCATGTAATACATAATTTTAAAGGCTTAACACATGTTAACACATTATTTCAAAGACTTAACACATGTTAAGACATTATTTGTAAGCCTTAACACATGTTAACACATTATTTTAAATCCTTAATATATGTTAAGACATTATTTGAAAGCTTTAAAATATGTTAATAAATTATTTGAAAGCTTTGACATATGTTAACACATTATTTGAAAGGCTTAACACACGTTTACACATTATTAATAGCCTTAACACACGTAATACAGTATTTGAAAGCCTTAAAACATATTAACACATTATTTCAAAGCCTTAACACATGTTAACACATTATTTGAAAGCCTCAACACATGTTAACACATTATTTGAAAGCCTTAACACATGTTAACACATTATTTCAAAGCCCTAACACATGTTAACCCTTAATTTGAAAGCCTTAACACATGTTATTACCTTGTTTGAAATCCTTAACACATATTAACACATTTTTTGAAAGCCTTACCACATGTTAACACATGATTTGAAAGCCTTAACACATGTAAACACACGATTAGAAAGCCTTAACACATGTTAACACATCAAATAAAACCCGAAACACATTGAAACACATTATTTGAAAGCCTTAACTCATCTTAACACTTTATTTGATAACCTTAACACATGTTAAGACATCAAATGAAAGCCTTAACACATGTCAACACATTATTTAAAAGCCTTTAACACATGTTAGCACATTATTTCAAAGCCTTAACACATGTTAACACATTATTTGAAAGCCTTAACACATGTTAACAGTTTATTTAAAAGCCTTAACAATGTAAAAACATCAAACTAAAGCCTTAACACATGTTAACACCTTGTTTGAAAGCCTTAACACTTGTTAACACATTATTTCAAAGCCTTAACACATCTTAACACGTTATTTGATAACCTTACCACATGTTAACACATCAAATGAAAGCCATAACATTATTTGAAAGAATTAACACATGTGAACACATTAAATGAAAGCCTTAACAAATGTTAACATTTTATTTAAAAGCCTTAACAATGTAAAAACATCAAATAAAAGCCTTATCACATGTTAACGCATAAATTGAAAGCCTTAACACATGTTAACACCTTGTTTAAAAGCCTTAACACTTGTTCACACAGTATTTGAAAGACTTAACACCTGTTAACACATTATTTGAAAGCCTTAACACATGTTAACACATCAAATAAAACAGGAAACAGGAGTTAACACATTATTTAAAAGCTTTAAAACATGTTAACACATTATTTAAAAACCTTAACACATGTTAACACATTATTTGTAAGCCTTAACACATGTTAACACATTATTTTAAATCCTTAACATATGTTAAGACATTATTTGAAAGCTTTGACATATGTTAACACATTGTTTGAAAGGCTTAACACACGTTTACACATTATTGATAGCCTTAACACACGTAATACAGTATTTGAAAGCCTTAAAATATATTAACACATTATTTCAAAGCCTTAACACATGTTAACACATTATTTGAAAGCCTCAACACATATTAACACATTATTTGAAAGCCTTAACACATGTTAACACATTATTTCAAAGCCCTAACACATGTTAACCCTTAATTTGAAAGCCTTAACACATGTTATTACCTTGTTTGAAATCCTTAACACATATTAACACATTTTTTGAAAGCCTTACCACATGTTAACACATGATTTGAAAGCCTTAACACATGTAAACACACGATTAGAAAGCCTTAAATCATGTTAAAACATAAAAAAAAACCCGAAACACATTGAAACACTTTATTTGATAACCTTAACACATGTTAAGACATCAAATGAAAGCCTTAACACATGTCAACACATTATTTAAAAGCCTTTAACACATGTTAGCACATTATTTCAAAGCCTTAACACATGTTAACACATTATTTGAAAGCCTTAACACATGTTAACAGTTTATTTAAAAGCCTTAACAATGTAAAAACATAAAACTAAAGCCTTAACACATGTTAACACCTTGTTTGAAAGCCTTAACACTTGTTAACACATTATTTCAAAGCCTTAACACATCTTAACACGTTATTTGATAACCTTACCACATGTTAACACATCAAATGAAAGCCATAACATTATTTGAAAGAATTAACACATGTGAACACATTAAATGAAAGCCTTAACACACGTTAACACATTATTTGAAAGCTAAAACATGTAAACACTTATTTAAAAGCCTTAACACTTGTAAAAACATCAAATAAAAGCCTTATCACATGTTAACACATTATTTGAAAGCCTTAACACATGTTAACATTTTATTTTAAAGCCTTAACAATGTAAAAACTTCAAATAAAAGCCTTAACACATGTTAACACATTATTTCAAAGCATTAACGTATGTGAACACATTATTTGAAAGCCTTAACACATGTTAACATTTTATTTAAAAGCTTTAACAATGTAAAAACATCAAATAAAAGCCTTAACACATGTTAACGCATAAATTGAAAGCCTTAACACATGTTAACACATTATTTGAAAGCCTTAACACACGTAATACATTATTTGAAAGCCTTGAAACATATTAAAACACATTATTTCAAAGCCTTAACACATGTTAACACATTATTTTAAAGAATTAACACATGTTAACACATTATTTGTAAGCCTTAACACATGTTAACACATTATTTGAAAGCCTTTACACGTGTTAACACATTATTTGAAAGCTTTAACATATGTTAACACATTATTTGAAAGCTTTAACATATGTTAACACATTATTTGTAAGCCTGAAGACATGTTTACACATTATTTGATAGCCTTAACACATGTTAACACATTATGTGAAAGCTAAAAAAAGTAAACAGTTTTTTAAAAGCCTTAACACATTTAAAAACATCAGATAAAAGCCGTATCACATGTTAACACCTTTTTTGAAAGTTTTACACATGTCAACACATTATTTGAAAGCCTTAACACATGTTAACACATCAAATAAAATCCGAAACACATTGAAACACATTATTTGAAAGCTTTAACACATGTTAATACACTATTTAAAATACTTAACACATGTTAACACATTATTTGAAAGCCTCAACACATGTTGAGACATTATTTGAAGGCCTTAACACATGTTAACACATTATTTTAAAGGCTTAACACATTTAAACACATTATTTGAAAGCCTTAACACATGTTAACACATTATTTGAAAGCCTTAACACTTGTTAACACATTATTTTAAAGACGTTAGTGAAAGTAATGGCAGCTTGTTACATTCTCCCCTCATTTGTCGAGGTTACATAAATAGGTGAGCTCTACTTCACTTGCCCTATGGACCTTCAATTTGGAAGGGGTTTTTCCTATTTAACAGTTTCGAAATGATAACGTTACTACACAATGACCTGGATTATACCTCAGCGCACACAGAAAATTCATGCCCAAAACTTGATAAAATGTTAACCAGTTTTAGCAATGTGATGGGTCTACTTGTGGTCGACGCCTCTGTCCTACCGTGGATCGTGTCGGGTTATGTACACACCACTGTTGTTATGATTGCTGAAAAAGCCACGGACCTCATCAAAGGGAGACAATCATGAATAATAGCACGCAACACAAATATGTTAATAAACTATAGAACTACTAGTAAAATATTTATTTTGGTCTTAATTTTTCACATTGTAAACACATCTTTTGAATTATAGAATAAATCAAGTTTAAAAATGATTATTTAAAAAGTGCTTGATCGGTTAATTAAAGACAGCTACTATTGAAAGTAAAGAGGTGGAAGACAAAAGCACACACCTCTGTTGGAGTACTGCGTAGAGCTTTTCCAAATGGAAGAATGTTTGTGTCATTGTGTGTCATTATGCTACTTATTGAATTAGTTTTCTTTTTGATCACCAATTTATTTCAGCTCTAGTTATAAATCCCAACCCCCTCCCATCCGACCACGAACTTTTTTCTCCCCCTTTTATTTCGTTCCAACTTTTGGAACATCTCTTCCCATTCCTTCCTTACCATCATTACTATTTAATTACTGATTTAATTTATTATGTCTTTAAAAAAAAATGAAATCCTTAAACCCTTATGAATTCATGAAAAATACGTACCAGAAGACAGTGTGTCTATTACTGTTGTAAATATGAACCCGTCTTTGGAAACTTATGATGGAAATGTAACACTAAGGCAAACAAATAGGTAATGTTAGTGTACGCTACAAATTATACGCCTGAGACAAAGTAAATAATACATTTATATAAGCACCATAAACATATTGATCGTGGACAACCCAAGACTAACATATTCACTCTACCTAATGGTGAGTTACCGAAGCCTGTTGAGTTACCAACACTCTGTTGAGTTACCAGTTACAGCTTGCCGAGTTACCAACACCCTGTTAAGTTAACAGCACCCATTGAGTTACCCGAAGCCTGTTAAGTTACCCGCACCCATTGAGTTACCTACAGCTTGCTGAGTTACCAACACCCTGTTAAGTTAACAGCACCCATTGAGTTACCCGCAACCTGTTAAGTTACCCGCACCCATTGAGTTACCCGAAGCCTGTTAAGTTACCCGCACCCATTGAGTTACCTACAGCTTGCTGAGTTACCAACACCCTGTTGAGTTACCAGCACCTCTTTGAGTTACCCGAAACCTATTAAGTTACCCGAAGCGTGTTGAGTTACCCGTAAGCCACACATAATGCCCTACACATTGTCCTGAAGTTTAGTGAAGCACATAAACACGCCAGGGCAAATATGGGTCAAGCTAACCACATACAGCGCTTGATAGTATCCGTACAGTAGTTAGACCTCGCACACTGAAGGAAGGCACAATACGTAAACATGTCTGGTCTACTGTGGACGTTACTTTTACTGGTGGCTGCTGTCTGTGTTAAAGTGTTTATAGTGGACCAGAGGGCTACTCAACACAGGGATTATATGATAGACAGATTCAATGCATCTTACGACTTCATTATAGGTATTATTTTTTTTTAAAGAATTTTTAAGTTTCTCTGATAAAATGTTACTATTAAAAAAACAATATGCAATAGTGTTAAATAACGGAACAGTCATTATGGAGCCACTCTCGTTTAAGCAGAGATCAAGTTAAGATAAAGAGGCCTATACTAAATACGGCGGACAGGGGGTGCTTTTAATATGTGTGTATGTGACGTTAGGTTAAGGCTAATTAATTTTAACTGGACATTTATATGGTTAAAGGCTTACTTAAATATGTTCTAAAGTTTGTCATTTTTACATGGCTACTTATATATATATATATATATATATATATATATATATATATATATATATATATATATATATATATATATATATATTCAAAGTTGAAAAAATTAAACTCTTTTAAATCTTTGAATATCAAATATGTTGGTTAATTTCTATTTATAGTTCTAAACGTTCATGGGAAACAACTTACTTTTTTAGTGTCAAAAGTCGTTAAAAAACAAAAATTCGACAGTAACAAAATAAATATGTAATTTTTATCATCCATTATTTTTCAAACATTACAATTAAAAATTTATTTTAAATTTATGTCTAGTTAAAATGCTGTTTTGAGTATTGAATTATCTATGTGATCTAGTTTAATTTATAAACGGTTTAGCGTTATTAAATATCTTAATTTTTAGAGTTCTCAGTGATTAATTAAACCAGTGTTTCGAAGTGGTGGTATTGGCCGTGTTTTTATGTTTGATTTGATGTGTCTTATTGCAATCAACTTTAATTTTATGGTTGCCTTAAATTTGTATCATTTTTTTCTGTAATCCCAAATTTATTTCAGCTCTACTTACAAGCCCAACCCCCCCCCCCCCTCCCCCTCAGCACACCACGACGATGGGAAAAGAAATCCCTAGAATCATCATTTAATTACACATTTGCATTTTCAGGTTTCTTTTTGTTTTTGTTTTAAAATAAAATTGTAATTAGACGTTTTGTATTAGATGTATGTATAGGCAAACCACTTTAAACGAATGAAAGTAGGCTACAAGTAAGAAAGAGGTATCACTGTTGTAAATCTGTATCAGTCCTTACAAGCCGATGATGAAAACTGTAATACTAAAGCGAACACGTAAGGTAAACTGATGCTGTAAATTGTATGTCTGAAGAGAAAAAGAATTTTTTTTTTTTTTTACTAACACACGTATAGTCTTGATAAACTCTCCCCCCCCCCCCTCTCCTCTTCTCCTACCTCGTAACATTGTCAGTAAGTTTTTGTTCAATACTGACCAGTGATATGCTTGCCCGCGCAGTATAAAAAGTATGCATAGTTAAATATCTCAACTTCAAAACGGGTGTGCGCGAAATTAAATTAAGTTCAACCCCAAATCTTCAGCATTAAGCTTTTAGTGAACATATTTGAACTTTAACTTGAGCCAAAACATAACATGACCTCATTATTCGTCATGTCAGCTTACAGCTATAGCGTGTAGTTATATTTATTTACAGGAAAAAAAACTTTCTGCACTGTGTAGGCCGATGTAGTGTAACAAAAACCTTTGTGCACTGTGTAGGCCGGTGTAGTCTAACAAAGACCTTTCTTCACTGTGTAGGCCGGTGTAGTCTAACAAAGACCTTTCAGCACTGTGCAGGCCGGTGTAGTGTAACAACGACATTTCAGCACTGTGTAGGCCGATGTAGTGTAACAAAAACCTTTCAGCACTATGTAGGCGGATGTAGTGTAACAAAGACCTTTCTACACTGTACCCGATGTAGGTTATCTGAAACACGAATAGCTGATGTTCTGGTTCACCAACTGTGTTATGGATGGTTGAGTTGAAGTACCGAGACTTGTAATGTTATGCTGGTAACTACTGACTTTCGTAGTCTTAGAACGATAATCTTCATCGTAAGATTGGTCAATAATGTGAACGTTGTGGTAGTAATGAATGTATGAGAAGTAAACTAGGATATAACAATTGGGTCTAGGACTTATCCACCCCCGCAGAAATTAACGTACGGATTCATTACCCCCTACCAATTAGCCCTCCAATCCCCCTCCCCCTCCATTCTGAAGAACCTTAACTCTAACCCCAACCACAAATCTATAGCTAATCCTAACCCAACATCAATCCTAACACCAACACCAAATCTATAGCTAATCCTAACCCAACAACAATCCTAACACCAACACCAAATCTACATCTAACCCTAAATCAGACTCTAGCCCTAGCCCTAACTTTAACTGGGTGGAGGGTAGATGACGGGGGGGGGGGGGCAAATGCTCCGTTGGAGGGTAAATGGGTGGGGCTAATTGTTTGGGCGGGGTGGGGGGGGGGAGGTAATATGTCCTGCTCCCATACAGATTACCTACCTAAGCACGAAAATGTTTGTAGCTATGAATATAGAATCTTAAATATGCTGTACAAGTCTCAATTATCTACGTAGTCGCCGCTTTACAGAGCACGGCAATGGCACAATTCTTTTTAAATGGCTTTATAATTAGCCTGCTAAAACTAATTACCCGGTGGCAATTAATTACAATGCTGCTCATAATATCTGGACGGTATTGTGTTGTAACACGACACATTATTGTAGATTAATGACACTAATTAAGTAATGTTTTTTTTTTTAAATCTTACATTCCTTTTATAATTAAAGACTTATTTTTAATAATTATTTTAGATATACTAAAAAACGTATATATTATTTCCATTATTCGACTTTTTTGAACTTGACTTTGGTTTTAGACTACTTGTTACAAGCTTTTATTTAACTCACTTCCTCTGTCGTCAGTCGTCAGTCTGTCTAGATCGATACGCGAGAGTGAAAATTCGGACACTTCTATTTGACCAATACGATTCTCAGTTGGCACGAGGGTCAAGACATGAAGACAATGCAATCTGAAATTAAATTTGACTTAATTGGATGCCTAATTAATCTGTTATCAATTAATTAAAATTTGGACCGAATTAGTAGGCATGTATATCCAACCACACCACACGCGTCATCACGTTCAATAGCTGCGCCATCACGTTCAGTAGGCGCGCAATGGTTTTTAGTCATGTAACTCTATATATATAATTCTCTTCTGGGAGCCGTTAGAAAACAAGCTGCAAGCGCGCCTTGCAGTCCCCTCTTTTCCTCTCTCTCCCTACCACCCCCACCCCCACCCCCCTCACATGGTCGGGTGAGCTGTGGTTCACGCTAAATGTTTACGATCGTAGAGCCGGGTTTGGTGACGGCTAAATTTAGTTTGAAACGATTTTAAACTTAGAGGAGGTAACTAAGAGGAGGCTACCTTCACAGAGGGGGGGGGGGGGGGTGTTAGTGTTTTAAAGCAAATATTTTCAGTGGCAGCATTGGTACTGTCGAATTCACAAATTATGATTTACTGAAAAGTAGAAAAAAAAAAAACTAAATAGCGGCGTATGATACACCGCGGGTCGGCTCGTTGTAAATAAAACATGTAAAGTACTGGAAAAAATTTTTTTCATAAAAAACGTTTTAATAACAAGCTTTTATGTACTAATGCACTAAAAAGTAGAAAATAAATTATAGACTACTATTTAAATAACTATAAAGAAAAGCGCGGGTCTCTTCCTAAACATTAGTAAAGGTATCCAATAGATACTAAAGTGACCCACGCTTTTCTTTCTAGTTATTTAAATAGTAGTCTATAATTTATTTTCTACTTTTTAATGAATTATTACATAAAAGCTTGTTATTAAAACGTTTTTTTTATGAATTGTTTTTTTTTTAATTTCGCTTTGTAAACATTAAAAAAAGTACTTTATTATCACAAACTAACTAGCTAAGCATGTATGGAACTATTGGTTTAGCTTGATACTATCAAACTTAGTAATGTTTAGTAATGTTTTAGAACGGCGTAGCTCGACAATTAAAATGAAAAGTCGTCTACTTTATCATCAGTCGGTGGTGGCACCGCTGGTTGTGTGGTGGCCGGGAGGTTGTCAGAGGACCGTGACGTCACGGTGCTGCTACTGGAAGCGGGGGAGAACGACCTGGGCAACAATAACGTTCGAATACCTGGGCTGGCTTTCCTGACGTTGAACAGTAGTGTGGACTGGGAGTATTACACGGAGCCGCAGGATGGGAAGTATCAGGGACTTAAAGGAGGCGTAAGTTGATCGACGTCGTCTTTTCCAGCTTGTGCCCAAGAGACATGGAGCAGATGAAGTAGAGTGCATCTGTTTGTGGTCAGCATCATGCACAGCGCCTTATTAAACTCATAACTTGAGTCAGTTATTTATCAGAGCTGGGTGGACTCAGGGTGGTCCGGCAGCCATAAGTCAGAACCGAGATCCGAACTCGAGACCTTCGGACTAGCACTCAAACGCTCTACCATTCGACCACACATTCCCTGCATAAGTAGATTGTTCAATAAAAACATTGCATATTTAACACGAATAATTAGAAAGGAAATGAAATGGCCTCCCTCATATAGGTACTTAGTTAATGATATAAAGACAGGGAAATCAGTCAATAAAGAATGTGTTGGTTCTTTAAACTGTAGTATATTGATAAAAATGTTTGGTTTTATCATGCTGTATTATTGTATACAAAAATTACTCTCAGAAAATCTACTGGCCCAGAGGTAAGGTCATGGGCGGTTCTGGAAGCTTAAACGGCATGCAGTGGGTCCGTGGTTCCAGACACGACTACAACAGGTGGGCTGATTACCTGGGAACCACTGACTGGGACTACAGACACGTCTTGCCTTACTTCAAGAAATCTGAGGACATGAACATACCTGAGCTAAGGGATTCAGGTATGGTTTTTTTTTTTTTTTCAAAAACTTAAGTTTTAATAATTAAAATAAGTGAACCTGCCATCGCTAACTTTAAAAAAAGCGGTATCATGTAAAATAACATACTTTAAAATGTTTTTTTTCTTTTAAAAAGTGTATCACGGAAAAGATGGGCCGGTTTCCGTCAATTATGCTGACCATTTGCCTATCGCTGGTCACTTAATTGAGGCAGCAAAATCAACAGGATTTCCGTTCAACCCGGACTACAATGGGGACACTATGGAAGGTAATTCGTTCATAACTTTAAGCATTTACAAATGTTTAGTAGTTTATTGAAATTCGTATACATAAAATAGTCCACCAAAGTCATTTGCTACAGACTTGACCTTTAACCTCTAGGAATATCCTACTCACAACTCAACACAAAGAACAGCGAACGTTGGACAACAAGCCAGGCTTACATCCACTCAGACTCGAGCAGGTCAAACTTACACGTGTCCACTCACTCACACGTCCAGAAGGTCAGAAATTTGTTTTACTTAGGAAATGATGAGTTGATATTGTGTGCCATAATACAGCATTTAGTGATTATGCCAGTAAAATATCCGGGAAGTTTTAAAAAATAGCTTAATTTAAAACGAGAGAAATACGAATAAACAGTTTTAAAATGTTGACACCAAATCAATGGCTACTATCTGTTGTTTCTTCAAATTTTATAGCTAGGTTTGTACTTTAAATAACATAACCCTAAGGATAACCGATAGACGCCGAACTAGAACTAAAGGTTAATTAATTATGCAAAGCATTCATAATTAATATATACATCTTTACCTCAATAAATGAAAAAGAAATTCTATCAATAGACCATTAGAACGTGTAAGCTCATTACACATGTTGTAAAGTAGAAACTTTTTGTTAACAATTTTTCTTTTAGGTAATTATTGAGAACAATAAGGCAACGGGTATCGAGGTAATAAAACAAGGCCGCAAATATATCGTTCATGCCACAAAAGAAATCATCTTGTCTGCAGGGTCTGTAGGCTCTCCACAGATTCTCATGTTGTCCGGCATTGGCCCTAAAACACATCTGGAAAATATGAAGGTATTCGTGCTTATCATACTGGTCACAATATTCCTGCTTACCATACTGGTCACAATAGTTTATAATTAAATTTTTGAAGTAATTTAAAATGTGCTTATAAAAGCTGTATAATAGCTTCCACTCATGTGTAGTGCTTAAGTAAGGACACCGCACGTTAATAGTAGTATAAATCCTTTTTTCTTTATTTTGATAATAAAACTCTGTCAGTATTTAAGGTTGAAAACACTAAACTTGGTGACCTGTGAATCGTTTGTGTGAATGTTTGGTGTAGATTCCTGTTATAGCTGATTTGCCTGTGGGAGAAAACCTACAAGATCATGTTTTGTTTGACATGAGCGTCAGCATCAAACAGCCCTTAACTGCCAGTTTGGAGACGATCGGAAGTTGGTGGTCGATTCTCAAGTACACCTTGTTTGGAACAGGTTGTCTTTTGTTTGAAAAGTTAAACTAATGTCTTATACGTCTATACACATTTGTGATGTAATTTATTGACCCCTCACCCAACACACACAATACACCTCCCCCATAAAATCGTTTCGCTAACCCTTTTACAAGACCTCACAGCTTGTGTAATTTACTGACACCCCGCCTTCCAACACACATTCACTCACCCTTTAAATCATATAGCTAACTCTTTACAGGACCCCTCAGCTCACAATGTGCTTTTTTTATTTACCCTCCCTTTCTACCCCTCCCCCCCCCAGAAACACCTTTTAAATCGTAGAACTAATCCTTTACAGCACCCCTCAGTTCACCATGTTTTATTTATTTACCCCTCCCCCCTTCTACAAACCCTCCCCCACCCCCACAAACACATTTTAAATCGTAGAACTAACCCTTTACAGGACCCCTCAGTTCACCATGTTTTATTTATTTACCCCTCCCCCCTTCTATCCCCCCCTCACCTTTTAAATCATAGAACTAACCCTTTACAGGACCCCTCAGTTCACCATCTTTTGTTTATTTATCCCTCCCCCCTTCTACAAACCCTCCCCACCCCCACACCTTTTAAATCATTGAACTAACCCTTTACAGGACCCCTCAGCTCCCCATATGTCATGCAGAACATGGCTTTTAAGAGCACGACGACAGCAACTAGAGAAAAAGATTGGCCAGATTTGCAGCTACATTTTGTTCATCTGTTGCCACATACATATGCGCTGAAATACAACTATGCTGACCACGTATGTCAACGTTATTATCTCTTTATTTTTAGATTTTTGTTGAATCTAAATTCTTTTTAATTTAAAAATAGAAGAGCCCAGTGCTAAAAGTACTTAAGTCACATTTTTGTGAAAATCAAACCAAGCATTGATCGTTATTCCTCTAGTTTAACTTTATCTTATAAACAAATAGTGATACTGAAGAATTTATTTAATTAGCTCTTCCAAATAAACAAATAAAATAAAAACTTAATGTTTCATAGTAAATTTTAATCTTTGAACTCATTTTTCTCAAAATGTTGTTTTTATGACTTAAGTACTTTTAGGACTAATTCAGTTCATTGCATAGCTCTTTGTCTTCATTTTCCTTCGATATCAATGACACATTGGAACACCCCATATAGTTCTTTCTTTCCAGTCCCTGGAGACTTTATTTGCACCATAACTTAAGTTATTTGTGTTTATTCTAGGTTAATACACAAATGACACCAAGGAACTCCGAGAAGTATGGATTTATGTGTTTACCATCTTTACTTAGACCGGAAAGTAGAGGAAAGATAACTCTGAGATCGAGTGATCCGTTTGATTACCCGATTATCGTTCCTAATTATCTAGACAAGCAAGAAGACGTAGATTTGTTAATAAGGGGTAAATTTTATTTCGCTATCTAGTAAAATTTATATATATATATATATATATATATATATATATATATATATATATATATATATATATATATATAGAGAGAGAGAGAGAGAGAGAGAGAGAGAGAGAGAGAGAGAGAGAGACTTTTTATATATGTACATATAGTGAGTAGAACTACTATGTGTTAACATATTGACTTGCTTAATCTATTTTTAAAAAAGTAAAGAGCTGATTACAATAGTAGGATTAGGAACTTTTTTTTTCCCAAGGTGTTCATGAATGTGAACAGATTGTGAACTCTGAAACAATGAAATCGCTTGGCGCTGAATTCACGGAGAAGGATCCTGCCTCTCCATGTAAACAGCACAGGTTCAAATCCAACGAGTACTGGGAGTGTGTCCTAAGGCTGAGACCACTGACCATCTACCATCCTGTGGGGACTTGTAAAATGGGACCAGACGGTGACTCCACCTCGGTCGTAGATCCACACTTTAGGTACGCTAAATATCGTGGTCAAATCAATAAAGATAAACTTAATTATTAACAGGGACAATTTGTTTTGATATAATTTTACTACATTTATACTGATAGTAATGGTCTTTGATAAATTTTCAGAGTTCGTGGTATATCAGGCCTCCGTGTGGTAGACGCCTCTGTGATGCCATGGATTGTGTCAGGGAACACAAATGCTCCTGTTGTTATGATAGCTGAGAAGGCTGCGGACATGATTAAAGGGAAACAACTACTACCCCCTAGTGATTTATAAATATAACACAATTTATATATAATTTTTTTTTAACTTTTTTGTTACTTTCTATCTTTTAATTAAACAAATGAAGGATGACAAATCTTATAGTGAATTTTTTCATTACATATTTACTGCAGCTTTCATGTGAAAACACTATATGTAGCATTAAGCGATGAATCTACAGCACACGTGTGATGGTCCTCTTTGCTGTGTAAGACTAAAAAATGGACTCTAATACAGACTAGAAGACACGTATTATAGGGCTTTATAAATAAGCAGAGGCGTCGCGAGGAGGGGGCGGGGGTTGGGGACAGCGCCTGGTGACACAATTTAAGGGGTGACACCATGGCAAAAAAATATGAACAATTCATTCAAGAAATATGCAATTTACCAAATGCAGTTAATGAATGATTAGAGTTAATTAACCTGTCCAAATAAGTGACTTTAGATAAACATCTTTACTATTAACTGTGCAGATTTTACAACTGTCACTGGTGGGGGGGGGGGGGGGGGGGGGGGGGGGGGGGGAATGACAACAATTGCATAATTTACAGCGGGAAAAAAGGCTTTGTTGAGTATTTTGAATTATTTAAAAGTCTATCAACGACCGGAGAGAACATATACATAGCGATATGTATACCTTTATATATATATATATATATATATATATATATATATATATATATATATATATATATATATATATATATATATATATATATATATATATATATATATATATATATATATATATATATATATATATATATATATATATATATATATATATATATATATATACTAGCGTACCCGTCCCCCGCGCGTTGCCGCGGGATAGAAGAAAGTTTGACGAAATGTATTAGAAGGATTTCACCCACGCGTTACCAATCATATGTTCTTAGACGAGGGACCTTTTTTTCCAAAAGTGAGTTATTTAAACGTAAACAATGCCTGCGCTTCTATCATAAATATCGGGACACGGGTTTACCTACACTACCGCATGAAAACATTGAGTGTACATTAATCACTGACCGAAATAATATGGTAGAACACACTTCGGTGACCGCTCATGAGTCAGAGACGTAGAGGGGCGCTCTCAGGGCCCCACCCCCCGATTACACTACCGCATAGGCCCGGCGTACGACCCCTGGCTCCTTAAAACTAACAGGCGCCATCGTGCCAAATAGCATCCTGTTAATAATGATGCAGATTTCGTCATTCGCTCAAGTGACACAAATGAACAGGATTTTTTTCTTTAACACGTAAAAAAATTATTTGACGTGTTTTAAACATCAGTGTGACTGATGCAATATGCTAGCGTTACTAATGTCTATTATTAGATGCTCGATCTCAATTTCTGACTGGATTATCTAATAATAGATGCTTATTGCATCATTCGCAAAGTGACGAAACTCTACTGTAGGCTCCTCATATTCAAAAAGTTTTTATTTCATCTTTCGCATGGTGACGAAACTGTACAGAAGGATTTCCTCGCGTTACAAAGTTATTTTAGAAGCCTGTTGTAGTGTTAACGCTGAATATAGTACTAATTTGGGCAATGGTTAGGGTTTGGGCTCTGTTATAACTTGGATTTGGGTTTGATTAATAATATGTAATGGTTGGCTTTCAATTTCCTAAGGATGTTTTAATAAACAACCTAATACTTTAGGGCTACTACTTTCCGTAGCCTAACACCCCTTTTCAGAAGATTCCATATTCATTAAACAGGTTTGTCAACAACAGAAATTTCACCCCCCCCCCCCCACCCCCAATTCTAAATGTTTGAAAAAAAAATGAAAAAAATTCTATCTACAGCACGTGGTGTTCCCAAGCGGTCACCCATCTAAGTACTAACCACGCCAGACGTTGCTTGACTTCGGTGATCGGACGAGAACCGGTATCTTCAACATTGTATGGCCGTAGATATACAATAACAAAAAAGTAGTATTTTATAATGATGTCTACATGAACCTTTTGACATAAGCAACACGCACTAAAAAACTAATATTCGTAGATTAAAAATAACTCAAGAAAAATAATTTCAACCTTCGTCTTCTATTTATTTCTGAAAAAAAAAGTAAAAAATACATTTTTATCAAAAAAAAAAATTTAAAAATAAATAAAAATTTCAATCTACAGCACGTGGTGTTCACAAGCTGTCACCCATCTAACTACTAACCACGCCAGACGTTGCTTGACTTCACGTGTTTCTAAAACCTTCAAAACTAATCTGGCATCCCTTTTTACAAGCTTTTATTTAACTCACTTCCTCTGTCTGTCGACAGTCTGTCGTCAGTCTAGATAGAAACGTAGGAGTGAAAATTCGGACAGTTCTACTTGACCGATACGATTCACAGTTGGCACGTGGGTCAAGACATGAAGACAATACAATATGAAACTAAATTTGACTTAATTGGATGCCTAATTAATTTTTTATGAATTAATTAAAATTTGGACCGAATTAGTAGGCATGTCTAGCCAACCACACCACACGCGTCATCACCTTCAATAGCTGCGCCATCACGTAATGGCTGCGTTCAAAAACCATTGCGCGCCTACTGAACGTGATGTTTAGTAGGCGCGCAATTGTTTTTAGTCATGTAACTCTATTGTAAATAAAACATGTAAAGTACTGAAAAAAAATTCATAAAAAACGTTTTAATAACAAGCTTTTATGTAATGATGCACTAAAAAGTAGAAAATAAATTATAGACTACTATTTAAATAACTATAAAGAAAAGCGTGGGTGTCTTCCTTAACATTAGTAAAGGTATACAATAGATACTATAGTGACCCACGCTTTTCTTTATAGTTATTTAAATAGTAGTCTATAATTTATTTTCTACTTTTTAGTGCATCATTACATAAAAGCTTGTTATTATAACGTTTTTTATGAATTTTTTTTTCACGATGGTTTGATCTGTTCTGAAACCCATATTTCTCTCAATAATGTAAAAAACAATAAATTGTTTCCTTTTCCGCAGTTGAAACTCATATTTCAGAAGATTTCTTTAATACTGCATTATTGAACAGTGATGATAAAATTAAACTCCCCTTCCCACCCCCATTCCCTTTCCTTGTCGCATCAAAATATACTGTTGACTTTTTTTTTTTAGCCTGACAACGCGATGTTGTAAATGACACAACAATGTCACAGGTTATGTAACATCAGATACTTCATTCAAAAATGTTATGTAACCAGGCATAAGCTGGTCTCGACTTTGTGGGTTGTGTTTCTAAAAAACTCATAATTATGTCCTATCATCCCTTTTTTTCACAATTTTTTATCGGTTCTAACACCCCTACTTTTTTACTTAATTTTCTACACGCGCATGTAAAAAAATGTCTTAATATTGGTATCAAACTAATAGACTCTTCCTATAAGAGGTGTGTTATAATGAAGGAATCATAGTATTATTACCTACAGTAATTTGGACAAGGATTAGGGTTAGGGCTATGGTATAACTTGGATTTGTGTTTGAATAATAATATATAATGGTTGGCTTCCAATTACCGATCGATGTTTAATAAACAATCTAATAGTTTAGGTCTACAACTTTCCGTAGCCTAACACCCCTTTTCAGAAGATTCCATAATTCTTTAATAATTGTGCCAATCACAACACAATCAACCCCCCCCCCCTTCCGCCCTTCTATCTCGTTCATGAAAAGTGTTCACACTTTTTAAAAGTCCAACAGCTAAACATCGGAGTCGTGGATGACGTAACAAGGTCACAGGTTACGTAAAATCAGTTATGTCTTTATAAAGTGTTATGTAACGGTGTAGTCGGTTTCGAATTTGTGAGCTGTTTTTCTAAAACACTCAAGAATGAAGTCCTGTCATCCCTTTTTTCACAATGGTTTGATCGGTTTTGTCACCCCTACTTTTTATTAATCGATTGTTAGTTACGCGCACTTTTAAAAAATCTCTTAATATTTGTATCAAACTAATAGACTCTTCCTAGAAAGGGTGTGTTATAATAAAAATAATCTCGGATTATCACCTACAGTAATTTGGGCAAGGATTAGGGTTTGGGCTTTGTTCTAACTTGGATTTGGGTTTGATTAATAATATGTAATGGTTGGCTTTCAATTTCCGAAGGATGTTTTAATAAACAACCTAATACTTTAGACCTACTACTTTCCGTAGCCTAACACCCCTTTTCAGAAGATTCCATATTCATTAAACAGGTTTGCCAACAACAGAAATTTCACCCCCCCCCCCACCCCCAATTCTAAATGTTTGAAAAAAATGAAAAAATTCTATCTACAGCACGTGGTGTTCCCAAGCGGTCACCCATCTAAGTACTAACCACGCCAGATGTTGCTTGACTTCGGTGATCGGACGAGAACCGGTATTTTCAACATTGTATGGCCGTAGATATACAATAACAAAAAAGTAGTATTTTATAATGATGTCTACATGAACCTTTTGACATAAGCAACACGCACTAAAAAACTAATATTCGTAGATTAAAAATAACTCAAGAAAAATAATTTCAACCTTCGTCTTCTATTTATTTCTGAAAAAAAAAGTAAAAAATACATTTTTATCAAAAAAAAAAATTTAAAAATAAATAAAAATTTCAATCTACAGCACGTGGTGTTCACAAGCTGTCACCCATCTAACTACTAACCACGCCAGACGTTGCTTGACTTCACGTGTTTCTAAAACCTTCAAAACTAATCTGGCATCCCTTTTTACAAGCTTTTATTTAACTCACTTCCTCTGTCTGTCGACAGTCTGTCGTCAGTCTAGATAGAAACGTAGGAGTGAAAATTCGGACAGTTCTACTTGACCGATACGATTCACAGTTGGCACGTGGGTCAAGACATGAAGACAATGCAATATGAAACTAAATTTGACTTAATTGGATGCCTAATTAATTTTTTATGAATTAATTAAAATTTGGACCGAATTAGTAGGCATGTCTAGCCAACCACACCACACGCGTCATCACCTTCAATAGCTGCGCCATCACGTAATGGCTGCGTTCAAAAACCATTGCGCGCCTACTGAACGTGATGTTTAGTAGGCGCGCAATTGTTTTTAGTCATGTAACTCTATTGTAAATAAAACA